AGCTAGTGTAAACGGGGGATAGAAAGAGCAGAGGAAAATCAGAGAAAAACCAAAATCCAAAACAGCAAAAATGGAAAATGGCTCGACTCCCCCCCCCCACACACACCGTTTGTTCGAGTCTGAGCTTGACAATGAGTGCTCACTCACTCACTATCTCTATCGCTTCGCTTCGCATCTCCCTCTCTCTCACTGAGCCTTCCACGATGGCCGCTTCCGTTTCCGTTTTAAGTGCTGGGAAATTGAGGTGCTGCTGCGGAAAGGGGGTGGACGGGGACGGGGACGGGGACGGGTGTGCTCCATCAAGTGGCAGCAAAGGCTTCGCTTTCTCGTTAGTTACAAGTTCCATGGAGTGCCACAGCGACTCCGAGCAATTGATAAGAGCTGGACAAATGTTTGGCCAAGTGTGCGACAATTTTAATTTGCTGTGTTTTCAGCCATTTTTTCTGCACCCCTATCCACCCCCAACCCCACTTCCTGTTCCTCTTCCTGTTCCTGTTCCTGTTGATTGGCGCCCATGCACTTAACCAAAACGTTTAAGCCGTAAATCGTTGTCTCTGCTTCCGCTGTCGAGGCGGAAGTCCAACATTTAATTACGTGCAGTTGAATCAAGGCATATCCTCATCCTCCTGCCGATCGTAATAGACATCACATCAAGTATACGCCATGAGGCACGAATTGCAAATGAACTCAACTGAATGGCGAGCGAAACAGATGGATGCAAATGCCCATTGCAGCTGTACGTGACAAGTCATCCAGAAACTGGGTTAATTTCGCCTCGCGACTTTATTGCATTCAAAATGGAGTGCAACTATAACCAATAGAGCGGAAGTCCCCCCTCCCACTGAGAGACAGAGAGAGAGAGAGAGATAGAGAGAGAGAGTGAGCGAGAGTGAGCTCCACATATCATGAGCAGCCATGAGAATGGCATCGCAATTCAGGAGATCAATCGTGCGTGGAGTTTTTAGCCCTGGACAAGGCGCAAAAGTTGCCAATGGACTACGACGACAGCTGCTTGCCCAATGGCCGCAACGTAATCTAATAGCCATGTGGCATTGGGGTCCGGGTGCACTCCTGCAGAGTCCGGAGTGCCTCCGGTACAATATGGTGCCTCTGCTGGTCAATGCCTGGTCAGTGCCTCTGCTCCTGTTCAGTCCTGTCCCATTCCTCTCATCGTCTGTGGCCATCCTGCAGCTAATGCAGCTGTTAGTGCCGCTGCACCACACCCATTCGCTCCATGCCGCATGACTCGCGAGAATTATTTCTGACCGCATTCGGAGTGTCCCAGCATGTTTGTGCTCCATGGCGGCAAAAGAATTTCCCGGCCAGCAAAAGGCAGTAAAAATATGTTTGAAAAAAGTGGCAGAACTTTAAGAGCAGCCATTGATGATTGAAAATAAATAGAAATTTGTATCCAACTTATTTCTTAGACCCGCATTTATTCTTAAGCACTTAATGTACTTTTTCCATTTCCCTCAGGTACGCTTAGAGCCGCTCAGAACTCTAATTTTTCCGGGGCTCATCCGTATCCGGCGAATTAATTGATTCAGATACGGATCAGGGCAGGCCAAGGACCTCAAGCCGGCTTCGGTTTGGATTTATGGGTCTTCCCCTGGCGACGAATTGCAGCGAACTTTGTCAACGTTGCGTATACGCCGCATGGGCCGGGGCTTGGCCTCTCCCTGAAAAGGGGAAATTAGTCAACATTTTGATGTCGTACCAGAGAGTCCTACCTGACTTTTGTTTATGGCACCGACCGGAGCAATTTATGGCCGGCCATCTGGACTGCGTCTAATGACATAATTGGAGGCCATGGGAAAGTGTGGCATGGGAATGTGTTGCTCTGCAGCTTAAGTTGCAACAAGACTGAGCAGACACTTTTGAGTCTGCAATTAATTTACGATATTTTTCGGAGGTTTGACTTCAGTCTGGGTGCCGTGGCCGTGCCACACTTTGCAGCCAATTGGGCGTAAGGTACGGGGTGAGTGAGTGAGTGAGTGAGTGTGGTGCTCGCCTGCCAGCTGCCACAAAACTCTGGGCATATGTTGCCGCAAATTATTGCCACATTTGCTGGCAGCCGCAGTCAAGTTGAAAGCTGTTTAAGCATCGCCCTGAAAATTTGCTTGAGCGTCGCATCATTTATTTTGAATTGAATTTAAGGGGAAGTCGAGAGCCAGAATTCGACCTGCAGCATGGCTGCTGCTGCCTCCATTTCACTTTGCAGTGGGCCCAATGCCAAGATGTGTGCAATGTCCTGGTTCCTGGCTAGTAGCTCCTGGCTCCTGCTTCAGCTACTGGCTCCTCCTGCTGTCCGCCCCTGGATCAACATTTCTCCTTTGTCTGCTTACCACAGTGGGGGCGGGGTACAGAGAGAGAGTGAGAGAACAGAGACTCTTCAGAGATTTCAACGGTTTTTGCCGCAGCTGGTGCTTCTTTTGTGCTGCACTTGCCTAATCCTCACGGTTGGTCGCTATTTTCATTTTCCATGCCGCATATCGGGGCACCGAGCACCACCAGCACCCCCAGCAGCAGCATCAGCAGCACCAGCCATGTGTTTTAGGAAGCTTAATATGCTGCAAGTAGATTAATTACACTCTGCCAAGGCTATGGTTGCCTCGTATATGAAGGATCCCTGCTTTAATGGGTTATTTTTTCGGACAGGAAAAGGAAATGATAGCTGAGGTATTGCCTTATTTCATGCGCCATTGCATGAGTTTCCTATTGATAAAAGAAACAGAACAGAAACAGAATGAAAGGCACTGTAAGAAAAATTCTAAACAAATAAATTAGAAGAACATTTTCTATGGTTTCGCTTTAGATATTTAAATACGTAAAAGTACTTCGGGAGCTGGTTTTTCCGCCAGTGTACTCTCCAAAGATATGTTCCTTGGAATGCTCCAAATGAATTTAGAGCAATTTTCAATTATTGCACAATCGAAGCGTAAATAAGTTGTAAATCATCAATTACCCGACAAAAAGAAGGCATCTTACCAGAGAACATAGATACAAACACCCACACACACACACACACACCGACAGGCACACCCACACAGACAGTTGCAATTGCCAAGAAATCGCCCAAAAGCGGATACGTGTCCTATCGCTGCTCGAAAAACCAACAGAGAGGCAGAGAGAGAGAAGGAGAGAGAGAGGAGGAGAGCTTTTGAGCTGGCCAGACACAATGGGCAATCGTAAAAATAGCAACTAACAATCCAAAAAGTAAAAGACCGAGTACTCCCCATACTGAGACTCGGCTACAGACTCGTGAACAGGCGATAAGCAGAGTCGAGGAAGTGCCTTGGATTCAGGCAGTGAAAACCTTAAGTAGATAGATATAGAAATGTCTCAACCCCCCCTCCCATCCACTCTATACCATCGCTTGGAATCCGATGGCATGTGATTTATGTGGTAAATAAAAGAAGAACAAGAACTAAAACAGGAATCAAAGCGAGTGCTCTCTCTGTCTCAGATAGGGGCCTCTCAGCAGCAGCAGTAGCAGCAGCTGCAACATGCAATTGCAACAAGCAGCAGGCGGCATGCAGCAAAGACAAAAGCAAATGAAGACATAGGAGGAGGAGGCAGCAGGCAGGAGGCAGGAGGCAGGCAGTGGCAAAGACACAGAGGCAGAGGCAGAGACAGAGACAGACAGAAGGCAGACGAGACGTTGTAAAAGTTTTTAATATTATTTCAAGTCTGAAAATGAGGGCAATCAGCAAGTGCAATTGTCGTCGAGCGGCTGGCATAACAAAAGAAAACGTTTTTTGAGGAGATTGGGTTGGACTGTGACTGTACCCCCACTGGGGAATCAGCGAAGGAACCGAACCGAACAGAACAAAGGCGTCATCCGAAAGTAGGAGGCTTTTGGTAGCTCTGCCCCGCCTGTCAACGCCAATGCCAAATGATGCATTCCAAAAGGAAGGAAGCAACCAGACAGAACAGGTAAGGAAGGGGGTGTGGACTCAAAGGTTGGGAATCAAAGGTGCATAAAGGAGGGTGGTATATGTATATGTTGCCGCAATGGAGAGAACAAACAAGAGTGCCAAAAGGTAAGGCCAAAGACAAAGCAAAGAGTGGGGCCAGAAGTGGACTAGAAGGTAGCTTTGGAGTTAAGGTACATATAGAAAGCATGGCTTACAAGTAAGTAAACGATGTAGTTTCAATTAAGGATGTGCAGGGAAGTGGCTGCCACAGAGAGAAAGGAAAATGCAGCCAAGTGACTGCCACAGTGAGAAGGAAAGGATAAGCAAAGAGACAGAGCTACTCTGTGAAGCAAAAAGCGGAAGGCGAGCTACTCTCGGGACCAGCACTAGTAAGGAATACGGAAGGCATACGGGAGAAGTCATTCAGTTTCGCTAAAAAGATGGATTATGCGACCATCAGAGCGAACAGGATGCAACAGCACACTGCTCTGGCCCAATCAGCCTGAAATGAGGGATAGTCTCCCCACATGTCCTGTAATGTTCACTTGGGAACGTGAGAAAGGAACAACCCTGCGTCAAACTGAACTTGTACCACTAACCCAGTTAGCCCCGCAAACGGGAACGATGGGAACGAAGGGTAGGTATAGGCGACACTCTGGTGCATTTCTGGGCCCCCGCACAATGCGCATCCTGTTGCGAAAGGACGAACACGCTCCCAAACACGAACACACACGATTGGAAACGAAGAGAAGCGGAACAAAAACGAACAAATCCGAACGGAAACGAACGGAAATGAACATCGAGTGGAAACGAACATAAATTGGAACAGCGGTTCGATGAGGTTTGAGCGGAATTTCCATACAATTCGTTGAATGTTGAAGCAATAAATGAATGTTGCCAGACGTATTACGGTTCTGCAGGTCTGGCTGTCTGCTGTCGGAGAAACATGTACATTGTACAATAAAATGGCTTATCACTAGGGGAGTCGAACTGTTATCAATTTAACAGCGGCACGTTTTCGTGGGGCCACTTCAGGGTTTTGCTCATGGGCTCTGCTGGGGGGGGTCCATCAGTGGAGGAACAACCTCAATCCGATTATCATGCCGTCCCCTCTGAGCGAAGCAATAGGGTGCACTTGCACCTGCCTCTGTCTGTCGCTAATCTGGTTGCTGCTCAGCCTGATCAATGCGTTCCTGGAGTTTCTGCAGATGGCTGTGCCGCTGCATTTGGTGCGGCAACGTGAAATGGAGGATGCAGAGCAGCACTTAGCCGGCGAGTGTACACTGGCAGCTATAAGTATACGCATGATTGCTTTTTGATCAGACTCATTTTGTAATTAAGCCAAAGACTGGAACAATAGGGAACGGATAATACAGAAAAATCATCATAATGATTATTGATTGAAGAGTAGAATATAAAATGCGAGATTAGTGTGATTTAAAAGCAATAAAAGAATGTACATTAATTAATTTGATATGTGATACAATTTTCTTTATTTATACATAATTGTTAACACTTGTAGGTACATACATACATATGTGGTAAGTGTATTGTTGTGTTCAAAGAATACTTTGTAGCTCATATCTTCCTATATTTTTGTCTGAAAGTTTGGTCTTAATTTAATTTATTTATTTTGCATTTCCCTGCCAGCCAACAATTTCAATTTCCCATTAAAATTCTCCCACACACACACACGCACACACACACAACAGAATTGCAGACAATTTTAATTAAAAATTCATTTTGTGGCAGAAGCCGAGAAAAAGGTGTCATCTACATTTTTGGACAGCTTCTGCCGCTTATCTACTGTTGACATACCTCTTGTCTTTATGGCCAAGACTTTCTTGTGGCCATAAATTTCATTTGATATTTCTATCAACGTGCAATGCAATGTTGTGGCCAGCCAGAAAAAAAGAAGAGGCAAAGGTGATTCTGTTGCACAGTTTTGTGGCAGTTGAAAGTTAGGAGTTTTATTTTTTGTGTGCGCTTTTTGTTCGATTTCTTTTTCTTTGAAATGTTGTTTCGATTTTCTTTCCTTTAACTTGAGTTTCTGTTTCGGTAATATTTCATTGGATGTTGCCTTCGAGGCTGGAATTTATTCATTTGCATAATTCTCTTGTTTACAATTTGTGTGCCACAGAAAAGAGAGTGAAAAGCGATTGACTTAAATGAAGTTACAACTTGGCAGGCAGCACCCGACGAGGCAGCAACAGCAGCACCAGCAGCAGCAGCAGCTAAGTGACTGCAACTGTTGCAAAATAAGAAAATTTATAATATTCAATTTATATGCATTTTTATTCTGTGAGTGAACAACAAGTAGTTCTTGGCCAAGAACTGCAACTTGCCTAAGCTGATAATCCCAGATTTCAAGGCGCCAACAGCTGCACCCACTCACTCAGCAGATCCCCCCCCCCCCACCAATCCTTAAGCTCCTCCCGCTGCTTTTCTTTCGTTGTGATTAATGAGATTTGTCACTGGCTTCATTTGTATTTTCCATGCCGTTGACTTGGCCCTAGGCACCAGAATGTTCATAGAATGAAGCCAACAACTGACTGACATGCATATAAATTTCATAAATGCTAGGGAAAGAGAGAGAGAGATAGGGAGAGGAGGGCTCCTGCAATTGCACAGTACCACCCCCACCTCCGCACCACTCTTTGGGAAAAAGCTAAAGACTGGCAAACAGCAGCTGGCGTGGCAAATTTGCATTTTCATTATTTTCAACTCAATTTTCAAAATGAAAATCAACAAAAACAGAAGGAAAGTCGCTTAGCCGTGGCTCCTCGCCTTATTATAATACGCATAAAAATAAAGGCCGACGACTCTGCAAAAGACCAAAAGCAAGTCCCTCTACTCTCCATAACTAAGTGGCACATTAAATTTACCCGAGCCTATAATTCATTTGTTAAGCCGTGCCTCCAGTGCCAGGGCCAGTGCCAGTGCCAGTTTTGGTTTCAGTCTCAGTCCATCGCTGGCCAAGATTATCATTGGCGGCTGGGAATGGGAACCAAGAAAAGCTCACATTTATGGTACCCTCCAAAGAGGGGATGCTACAATACGGTTGGAGAGTTTGCACCGATCAGAGGCAAGCAGTTTCTACTCTATAATGTATGATGAAGATTATAAGTGGGAGATAGCTGTATGAAGATTAATCTTTGCCGCTATCCAGTATAAGGAATACTGGACAGATATTACTAGGATATTTCCTAGAAAGGGTATCTAAAGTTGCGGCTCTGGGCTGTGCATTTTGCATCCATTTTGTTTTGCTTTTTTATTATTATTTTTATTTTTAGTGAATTTGTAGCTGCACTTTTGGTGGAGCCTTCGAGCTCCATTTCGTCTCGTCTCGGGCCTTGGGTGAGTTATGGGTGGCAATAAATTTATATGACATATAAATGTAAATAATTGAGCAGCGCGGAGCCGCCGTCTAGAGTTGTCACAGCCGTGAAGTTGGGTCGGTTAAGGGGGGCGGCTGCCAGGGTTGGTTCCAGGGCGCCTTGTTGACTCCGTGATTGATGCTGGACCTCACATCCGGCAAACAGTGCTCATCCTACTGCTGCCTCCAACAAGGAGGGGGCACTCATGCTCATCCTCTCCAGCTTCAATGGGGTGGTGGTCACATACAGCGCCCTCCTTCTGCTCCCATCGTTGGCTCGGCTCCCATTAAATCCCCTTAATGGCCATTTTGGGTCAAACATTTAATTTAAAGTTTTATTGCATTTTATTTGAACTTTTGATACCGGGCAGCGGAACTCCAGCTCAAACAGTGAGCGGATATGTGGGGAAGGGCGATGTCATGTCTATTTTCAGTTTCTTGATCACATAGTTGATCTGATCCTGGCTCTTCAGAGCGTAAGCCTGGAAGGGCAGCACATTGAAGCGACTGATCCGATTGCCAGAGATGTTCATGAGGAAATTGTAGTAGCTGGGACGTAGGCTACGCGCCTCCAGGATGGCCGCGTGAAAGAGCACGCCCGTGAAGAAGCCATACATGATCATATTAAAGTGTGGCACTTCCGGCAGCTTGCCCTCGGCAATGCCCCAGTTGTACAGCAGCTGGAGGGCCTTCCACATCAGATACATGGCCACCGTGGTGTTGGGGAACCGGAGCAGTCCAATGGAGCCAATCAAGCCAGCGGGAATGGCAAAGAGTGCGTTGTCATGGCCGCAGGTGTGTCGCAGGCCACAGGAAATTGTCTGTGGAGATGGAAAATCAGAGTCAGAAGCGCCTCTTTCGAGTGTCGAAGTCCTACACACCTTGTAGAGCAGTGAGAAGCTACCCAGAGCCAGCCCCAGCTGTAGGGAACCCTTGTTGAAGATCTGTTTGCGCCACTGCATCTTCATCTTAACAATCTTGGTTATGTTGAGCAGTAGCTTCAGTCCAACCTGCAGACCCAGGCCGCCCAGGAATGGCTTCAATGCTCCGTAGAGAGCATACGGAGCACAGCCCTGTCGATGTGGGCAGCTGGGATGCTTGGCGGTCTTCAGGCGATCGTACACCTGCACATAGGCGTAAATACTTTGGAAGTTCAAAGGCCGCTGGCGGGAGCTTTGTGTGGTGGTGACAGTTGGGGTCTTGAGCGGACCCTCCTCCTCCTTGCCCAGAATCACACTCAGGCCCTTGAAGGTGGCATCCTTGGCCACCGTTTTGTGGAGCCCCACGCGGTAAAGGTACATCAGAGCGGTGATGCTCAGGCCCATGACGAGCACCTGGCCATTGGGAAGGGAGCGCACCAAACCCCTCGACTCGAGCATCTTCCACACGGTCTCGATGCCCACATTTGCCACGTACAAGGCCAGTGGAGTACGACGCTCCGGCCGCTCGATGGCAATGGAAGCCCAGCTGGCCAGGAAGGAGGGAAAAAATGCCACCGTTGAGAAGTAGAAGCGACCCAGCAGCTGTCGGAATAGGCACACGCAAAAGACGAAGAGCCCACCGTTCATGGAGAGGAAGGCAGTCGACTGAAGGATGCCAGTAAGAGTGCGCCAAAGGTCCTGCAGCCTAGGCACACGCATCCTCATGATCAAGGCGAGCTGTAGAATTCAATATATATCTTATAAATTTTATAATATCTTGGAATTTCTTGTTACGCACCAAATACACCGTGGAGTAGGTGCGAAAACTAGGCGCAATCTCAGCCAGCATCATGCCAGCTGACGCAGCGGCACAACTGGAGGTCCATGGATGCCCGTACGTGTGGCAGCTGCACTCGATGGCTGCTTCGAGAAGTTTACTTTGGGCTGCCATTGTTGGGGCCTTGAATATTGGATTATGCTTGCTGAATTATGATTATCGTATTGTCCAAGAATTGGGCAGAAGATGATAAAGCTTATCGGCTGTTCAGCTGCTCGACGGAATGCTCGTATCGCTCAAAGTTCAAATATTGCCACCCAATTGGAACCTGGAAAGCGCCCACTTAATCTCAGTTTTCCCAAAATGTTTTATCCACTCTTTGTAATGCGGAGCAATCCCATAAAACAACCCGTTGATTTGTAGCCAGAGATCAGTGGTGTAGTTTCCACTTTGTTTTGTAATTTCCACCTCAGGTTTAAGTTTCTCACGTTTGGGCCCGTTCAGCCATTCAAATACTACTGATTGGGTCCGTGGGGACGCACTTTAGCAGCTCCATTGAATTCGTTTATCAAACAATTTCGGGCTCTTCTCTGGCGTACGGCACGGCAAGTGTGTGCCTGAAGTGCGTCTAATACCAATGCTTATCGACAGAACGAGCAAACGAACGGAATGAAGCTCTTGCCTCCATGCCTGGTGCTTGCTCGGTCTTATGGCAGCTACGTCATCGGCTGGGGGTGTTTGCTTATCAATATTTAAGAGAAATATAACGAAGGGAGTCCACTCTTCATTATTGGAAGCCAACGTAGTGTTTATTTGTATACCCCGTAGTCGGAATGTAGTGGGCTATTTGGGCGGAACGAACATATTGAGATTATCATTATAGACTGCTAACATTCCCATTATCCATATTAAAACTCTAGAACGGCTGCTGTGGTTTGCTGAGACGGAATGCAAGACGATCAACTGAAGATAACGGAAAAGGAATATTGGGTATGCTATACCCTCCATTTATCGCTAAGAATAAATTCATATTAAACGTAGAGCATGCAACCACAATCTGCCACAGTGAAGCGTGGCCGTGCCGCTATAAATAAGTACATACTCGTTAATCTTAGTTAGACATAAGTTTTTATTGAAAACTGGTACCAAAAAAACAGTCGAAAATAATTTACAGTGCACCCCCCTTCCCGACAAGTGATAACATCGCTTAGCTTAGTGATCCGTGTGGCAAAGAACTGAAACGTTGAACGTACAGCACAGAGACACACCCAGAGAGATGGATAGTTAGAGAGACTCTTAGATATATACACGCCTGTAATATGTACTCGCAATATGGATATGGAGAGGCGCGTCCAGCGCCTGGCTGACACATGAAACTGAATGTACAAATAGGTTGTATAGATGGTTGGCTATCTGCTTAAGAAGCAAACGGGAACGCTGGGAGTATTGACTTCTCGACAATTTTCAATGACTTGATGGTGTCCATCGCCTGTTGCTGTGTGCTGAGACCGAACACATCGAAGGCGCTTAGATTAAAGCGGCTCAGTCTGTGGGAGAACGAATAATCAATATATCAATTTGAATGCTGACAAAGCAGTAAGTGGAGCGAGCTGATACGCACCTATCTCCCGAAATGGCTTGCAGAAACTTGTAGTAGCTGGGGCGCAGAGCCTTTGGCTCTACAATGCCCGCATGGAAGAGCACGGCCGTGAAGAATGAGTAAAGGTAGAGCATAAAATTGGGTACGACTGGTACGATGCCCTTCGCCTGGCCAATCGAACAGAGTATCTGCGAGGGAAGATAAAAAGCGATGCAACTGGATGTCAAAGCAATGATCACTTCTTTGCTCAGCTCACCTGCAGAGCCTTCCACATGACATACAGAGCCACTGTGTTGTCTGGATACTTGGTGAAGGCCAAGGAAGCCACCAGACCAGCGGGAATGGCGAACATGGCATCATCTCTATTGAAGCTATGGCGTAGCAGACAGGAAAGAGACTGAAAAGGAAACACATAAATGACACTCAGCAACCAGAAACTGAATCGGCAAACACTCACCTTATAGAGAAAAGAGAAGCTGCCCATAAAGATGCCCAACGGCAAGATGCTGCGATCAAAGATGTGCTTCTTCCATTTCATTTTGCCACTGGCTATCTTGCTGACATTCATCACCAGCTTGAGGGCCACCTGGAGAACAACGCCACCCACAAATGGCTTGATGCCGCCACTGATGGAGTAGACAATGCAGCTCTGTTTGTGACGGCAGCTGGAGTGCTTGGCTTGTAGGAGATTGCTGTAGACGCGCACCCAATCGGAGACGGTCGAGAAGCTGACGCTGGGACGGTGTCGCGGCGGAGCTGGCTGCTCGCCGGGCAATGTCTCCTCATCGTTGACTATTGGTCCGGCCTCCTCCTTGCCCACGAAATGGCGCAGAATGTTAAAGATCGAGTCTTCGGTTTTTCCACGTCGGTATATATACAGCAGGGCCGACATGCTCAGTCCAAAAATGAACGTCTGACCGTTTGGAATGGACCGCACCCAGCCGCGGGATTCGGCCATCTTCCAGAGCGCCTCCGTAGCCACGTTGGCTACATACAAAGTTAGAAGCGGACGACGGGCTGGACGCTCCACAAGAATGGCCGTGAACGAGGCCAATAAGCAGGGCACAAAGGCCACTGTGGTGAAGTGATAGCGCCCGAGCATGTGCCGGAGCAAGCAATTGTACAGAATGAAGGTGTACGCGTTGGTCACCAGGAAAGCCGTCGACTGTATAATGCCCAAAAGGGTGCGCTTGAGATCAGTCATGGTGGGTATACGATTGCGCATCAGCAAGGACAAGGCATAGACCACTGTGTAGACGCGTAGACAGTAGGGCGTGGCCGAGAGCAATATCCCGGCGGTGGCATTCGCACAATGATCGGTCCATGGGTGCTGGAAATCCTTGCAGCTGATGCACAGTGGGTCCAATAGCTTGCTCTGTCCCGCCATAATCCAATCCGATGTTTATCTTTGCGTGTCTGGAAATAAAATAACCACAAATTAGTCACTGATCGACCGTATGTGCTGGAGTGCTGTTCCAAGTCCAAGATTGATTTTGTAACCTTTAATCTTATCTATATGCGCCGACCACCGAGTGGTTGAATCTTTTATTTGGGGCTCTTCGTGTGGTTGCTATGAGAACATGGAAATTACTACGGAATAAATGTAGATTTAGCTGGGCTCGAGTGTAGACTGCTGCTACTGCTGGCCAGGCCAGAACTGAAACCAGTAGCTGGCGCAGTTGGCCTGGACTGCAGTGTTTTGCTCGGGTATCTGTGGACATTTATTACTGTCTATCGATAAGATACATTCAAGATTAGTGGATTGACCAGGCCAAGGAACAAAGGCCATAGCAGACACCCTGTATGAGGATTACAGCCACAACTGGGTGGGGGGCGACTATATTTTACGGCACAACTGGCGCCTGCAATATTCCAGCTGTTGCAACTGTTTTGGCCAGCTCATTTACATATGTTTATGGAGTAAAGTGACGATTAAATATGCTACTAAATAATCTAATCTACATGAGAAATGAAGCCACAACTGGCTTTGAAAGCTATTTTGCCCGCTAACTATGCATCTATAATGGGTTTGTTTTCTTTCAGAGTGATATGACGATCCCCGGTCAAGACCTTTGGCCAGGCCCAGGCGGTGATAAGGTGCTCAGAGTGCTGAGTGCTGAGTGCTCTAAATGTCGGCAATTTACTCTGTTCTGTTCAAGTTGTACTCACGTCTCAACTGTTATTACTTGACTGGGGTAACAGGCAATAATAAAGCAATTGCTAGTTAATCGCAGATTTGTGCGCTCTCTCTTCTGCCTCTGTCCCCTCACAATTGTTGCTTTAAAAATGAATTTAAATTAGTTTTACTGCTGCTGCTGCTACGGCGGCGACGACGACGACGACGTTTCGGTTTTTGGCGATTTTTTTAGTTTGCTGTCAAAATTAAGATTCCATGACGCACTTCGGTTGCTCTGTTTCCACACACGACTACAGCACTAAGCGCGTGGCAGCTACTGCACTTTGCCTATAAGCCAACTTTAATTGTTATAGTTTATCGGTTTAATTATAATTTCAGTTCCAGCATCCGTAAATGTCCACAACAACAACAACAACAACAAGTGGTCGCCGGGGCGCGGTGTCGCGTCTGCTTCTCGGCCAGCAGATGCGGCTGCTGCGGCAGCATTAACTAATCTAACTATTGCAACAGTTGCAACATTTCTCCAGGCCCCACGCAATGTTTTATCAGAGATTTAACAAAATGTTTTGAGATTATTTCGCGTGTAAACAAAGACCAGTGCGACTGCGGATTCTTCGACAAAATATACCGTCAAACCCTCAAAAATATACTAAAACATAACTCTTCTTTTTCATAATATACCGTAAATATACCAAGGAAAATCATATTCATCAATTTTGATATTCGTTTTAATATTACTAGCAAGTTAAAACTTTAACAGCTTAAAGTATAATTTCATCCAATAGACGAATAAATTTTCTATAATGTGTATTATTTTAAAAACTCCCATTTATTGGAATACTTATAAAATAAGGTTTAAACAAAGACATATATATGTGTTATCGAGCTGCAATTCTTTCGAGTGAGTGTCGTGCTATTTAGCTCTTGCTTGGCTGTCTTTAATTGCGCATTTGAATTTTGAATTGAAATTTAATAATTTACATTAGATGCGACTTTATTTTTAGATTCAGCAAATAACTTTGGTGAAAAAATTATTTTAAATTATAATAGCAATAAATATATATAAATAATGCAAAATGAATGTCTCCCTACACTCCCATTTATTAATTGCCTGAAAATTAACGAGCAACAGATATGAAATCCACTTCTGCTGCCACCTTCTGTGGTCCACCGGCAATGTGTGCTTGAAATTTCCATTTGCCAATGCTTTGCCGGTGCTTCGTTTAGGCCACAATTCGTGCCACAATCAACTCAAAGCACTTTCCCTGCCGAAATGCTTGCAGACATCGAAAGACTCCTCTGTGGTCCTTCTGCTCCTTCCATCAATTGGATTTCGGTTGTAGTTCATAAAGTGTGTCTCTGTCAGCATGGGGATGGGAACTTCAATGCCATTGCCATTTCCATTTTCACCTCCTCATCCCCCGTTTCATTTGCGCCCCTGCGAAGCTCTTTCGGTGCGGTTGACACGGCACAACGGATATACCAAAATATTTCGTTATTGTTTGTTGGTGGTGCTGCCTTCTGCCCCAACCCCAGTCTGGGCCTCCCCGCTTATGCCATTACCTGTGGCATGGCTTATTTTGTAAAGCCAAAAGCGCTTAAGTAGTTCATTCCGAGCATAACCTCCTAGAAGCGGGTGGGTTTTCGGCTCCGTTCCTGTTACCAGCTTCACTTCTGCTGCTACTGCTACCCCTCCCGGCCTCCTGCGCTGCTTAGATGCTTACCAAAATTGCGGTTGCTTTGTGTGATTCCTTTGGTTTTTCTGGCGCGGCTTAGGCGTGTTCTTGTTTTTTGCTTGTAAGAGTGCGAGGGCATATCAAACATACTTGACTCTGTCAGAGCCCGACACTTACTTAATTTACTTGAGGTGTTGCCTGGGGATCTTTGAATAAATCTTTGCTTCTGACATGTCGCCAGGTTGGCGCTGAATAGACACTCGAAAGCGGCGCCTTGGCTTGAAGAGTTGATGCCGCTTTTTATTGCTGCTGCTAATCTGAAGTTTGTTCAGCTCAATACAGGCTTTAGATTCAGGGTACAATTGGCAATTAGCTCGGCACTTGACCAGGTTGCTGCCTAATTGTTGTAATTGCTGAGCAGAAAGGGGTTTGGACTTGCACTGCGGGTGTCTGTCAATCCGGTAGGCCCTCGGGAATCAATTAAGGCAGCGAGGCATGCGTTTAATATGCAGCAAGGTACATAGAAGACTCGATTCTAGATCCCAGCATCTATAGCCAGTGCACAGCAGGGGGCTGGGTTCATTGAGTTGCTTGACCATACACAGAGCCACACCCACCCCGAGGTACTCCTTGCGCTCAGTGCCCTGGTTTGGGGTTCCTTTCCTGGTTTGGGGGTCTCCTAATTCTACCAGCACTGGACTGCTCCTGATTTTATGCTCCACAATCAGAGCTCCTGGTGCCTCTTGTACCCCAATGCTGGCCCCCATTTATAGACTTGTCTTAGGGCTCATTTATCCTGCTACCATATTGCCCCCACCCCTCCAACACCAATCTCTAACCAACCTCCTTAATGCGGAGGTCCTGTGTGTATGTTTCTGGCTGCCGCCTGCATGTGGCCATTTGTTTAGCCTAGTGTCCTGTGTGTCCTGCATGTGTGTGTGTGTGTGTGTGTGTGTGTGTGTGGTGTCTGTGTATGTGGTTGCGTCCAAATGTGTTCAATTAAGCGGTAATAAATTGTTCATTTGCTCATTGGTCCGCATGGCCATTACAACAACAGCAGCAGCAACAGGAGGAGCATCCAGCAGGAGCAGGAGCAGGCGGAGGAACTGTCCAGGATCTATGGCTGGAAGAGACATTGTCGTCGCTGTAATATTTTATTAGACCCAGCAGCCATGCTCCCATGCCCCCATGGCCCCTACGGTTGTGGTATGTATACATTGATGCATGTCCTGCCATTAGCAAACCTTTTGCATAATGTACAATTAATTTTCCACAAATTTGCTATTTTATTAATTGCTTTCATTCCATTTCTTTGGGTCTCTCTTTTCGGGTTGTTTCTCCGCACTTCGATCACAGTTTGGTTAACCCCAAAATTTGTGTATGTGGCCCAAAAAGCAAAAGGCTACCAACAATCATCAATACTCGCAGGCATGAGGCAGCCGCAAGGTCAAATCGTTTTTGCCACACAAATGATGATGCTGGTGGTGGTGGTGGTGGCATCATCACAGAAATTGTGGCACAGACCGCACTGACTTCACATCAAAATAGAACATTTTGCGGCTTCTTCTCCTAACGAACAAGTGCCAAAATAGACATTTTCCTTTCACTACTTCCGTGCCACACACACTTGCTTGCCTCGTGCAACATGTTGCCAGTAGTAGTACTTAGATGTGTCAAATGTCACACACTGCAACCCGAAAGACAATTGCTGCAATGTACTTGTGCTTGCTTGTCGAGAGGAAGTTGTTACCAAATGTTAAATTAACAATGGGATTATGTCAGGCTTTTGTGTTTTTTTCTTCTATGTGCATACTTCCTGGTGTTGCTTGTTCTATGAGTTTTCTTAGGAGACTGCTATGTATATCTTTTCCTCTCTCTTAGTTTTTTCATAATTCCAGAGATTCCTTCTGGCTTGTGTTTCCTTCTGTATCTGTATCCCATTTCCTGACAAACTTCTTAAATGATTGGAGTTGAAGTTCTTCTCTAATTTGTTGGCTCGTTTCAGCTGGCAAGAGTTTAATGTCTTAAGTGGATTCCTGATATCTCTTTGGGGCATTTTCTTTTAGATTAGACTATGAAAAATAATTTTTAACCAGATTTAGTTGTATTCGTCTGTCACTGCTTTTTGGTAGGGTAATGGCAAAGAGACAACAGCTATCGAGGAGAGCTGTTTGAGAACCCTAATCTCTTGGATGTGATAATCTTCACCTTTACCTACAGCTCTGCTTCTAGTCCCTTTATCCCATATGCAAATTGTGTCCACTCTCGAAGGACCACCAAGAATAACAACAACAACTGGAAGGTACAAAATCAATTCCCGTGGTCCCTTGCAAGGTGCAACATCCCCTAAGCAAAGTCAAACGAAATTAGTTTGCTGCTTGCTCATAAAACTTTGCCACAAACTTGGCCATGCCCCAAAAAACCGAGGCACGAGTAGGAGTATGTGTGGTGCACACACGAAATAACTTTTGGCAAGGGGCACAAGCCCTACATTCCACTTGAGATTTGAGACTTGAGACATGGAAAGTTTTTGTGCGGCCAACCTGGGCGGCCAGTTAGGTCTCAGAGCTTTAATTGTATTTCCAGGTGGTACAGCGCCTTCTCCTTGCTGGTCTACGCTTCAATTTCCATGCGTGATAAATGGCAAAAATAGAAAAATCTCACGTTTGCTTTTGGCTTTTCCTGTTTTGCGTTTCGCGCTGTCCGCAGTGTCCGCGCTGAAGGCAACATTTCAGAGCTTTTGTCTTTCAATTTTGGCCCAAACCCACCAACAAAAAAAGTCTCCTTTTGGCTAGCTGCGGTGGCATTTGCATCCCCCCTGCCACCGCCACTTTTCCTAGCTCTTCTACCTGGCCCCAACGTGTAATCGCTTTGTTCGCATTCGCGTTGCATAGTTTTCTGTGGGTGGTTCCCCACGCACATAGCTGGGCATTCAGTATCGACATTGGGGCAGATGTCTGTTGTACACACGAGTATGTATGTATGTATGTATGCCTGTACCAAGCCATATAATTGGTCTGTTTTGGTTCTAACGTGTTCTGCGGGAGTAATTCATTCTGTTTCTGTTCTCCGTCTCCGGCACTGGCTGTGGCTCCGGCTCCGACTCTGGCTCCGGCTGTGGCTCCAGCTAAGCTGCATTGTTGAAATGTGAAAAGATTTAATTTATTTCAAGTGCCAGCACAAAAAAAGACTTCACTTTGGATTGGTTTTGGTCTGCGGATCCGATCCGGACGGGGGGTCTGGTCTTCTAGCTTGATGCGCTGCCACTGATTCGTTCTGGAATTGCATTTATTTAAACGTTTCAATTGCTTTTCCGTTGGCTTCAATCTTCGAGTGATTTATTGTGTGCTCCCAGACAGAGTGAAGCATAGGATGGGATGGGGCTCCCCACCGTTCCGTTCCGCTACATTCGAATGGGAATCGTGATTGCGTTTGCTTAGGCATAACAATTATCCGCAGTTAATGTAAACGAAATCAATAATTAAATTGTGTGCCAAGCCACGAATTAGTCGCATTACAAAACAATGCTGTTAGCTGTCCTATAATTATGTAATTATATGGCATAACAAATGTTACATGTCCCACCCTGGAGCCACAGGCTTCAGGCTATAAAGGACCAGGCCACAAGCTCACATTTCGTTTGTTAAAGGAAAAGCCTTGGCTCGCTCGCAGGCTGGCTCGCAGAGATGAAGTTTATGAAGTACACCAACTTCTTCTACAGATCTATGGGTATGGAATCCTATACGACCGATTCTCGACAGCAGACCAAGAGCCTGTGGGCTAATCTCGTCTTCTGGGCGAATGTGCTCAATCTGAGTGCGATTGTGTGCGGGGAGATCATCTACTTGGGAGTTTCTCTCGCCCAAGGCAAGATCCTCGAAGCCATCACAGTGACGACCTACATCGGATTCGTGTTCGTGGGCATGAGCAAGATGTTCTTCATCTGGTGGAAGAAGCCGGCCTTGAGCGAGGTGATGAGAGATCTGGAGCAAATCTATCCTAAAGGAAGAGAAGCGGAGGAGGAGTACAGACTGCAGAGCTTTTTGCGCTCCAGCTCCCGCATAAGTGTCACCTATGCCCTGCTCTATTCGGTGCTGATTTGGACCTTCAATCTCTTCAGCATTATGCAGTTTGTGGTCTACGAAAAGCTGCTGCATATCCGTGTGGTGGGCTTGGCGCTGCCGTATACCGTGTATTATCCATGGAACTGGGAAGCGCCCTGGTCGTTTAACCTGCTACTTTTCTGCCAGAACTTTGCGGGCTATACCTCGGCGGCGGGACAAATATCCACGGATCTCCTGCTCTGCGCTGTAGCCACTCAGCTGGTGATGCACTTCGACTATCTGTCGAGAGTGCTCGAAGGCCACAAACTGAGCGGTAAATGGGAAAAGGATTCACGATTTTTGATCAACACCGTCAAATACCATCAGCAGATACTTCGCCTCTCGGCAGTGGTGAATGATATCTTTGGTATCCCATTGCTGCTCAACTTTATGGTCTCCACATTTGTCATCTGCTTTGTGGGCTTCCAGATGACAGTGGGCGTGCCGCCGGATATCATGATAAAGCTCTTTTTGTTCCTGTTCTCGTCACTCTGTCAGGTTTACCTGATCTGTCATTACGGCCAGTTGATTGCCGATGCGGTATGCTCTCCTCAGGTTCCTGATTCCACCTTCCAAATTACTTTCCTTTGGTCTTTGCAGAGTTTTGGTCTTTCGAATGCTGCCTACAAACAGAACTGGAACCATGCAGACGTACGCTATCGCCATGCTTTGGTCTATATAATAGCCAGGGCCCAAAAAACCACGTACCTAAAGGCCACTGTCTTCATGAGCATCACGAGGGCCACTATGACAGACGTAGGCACATAATACCTCTTCTCTTTCATCATTATCTGAATATTTTTCTTGTGTGTTTAGTTACTTCAAATATCATACAAGTTCTTTGCTTTGCTGCGCACCATGTATGTGAAGTAGAGACCAGGGATGACCAGAACCCAGACGAAGAGAGATCCCTAAGTCCCTAAGCCCAGCGCCCTCTCAACCTCCTGCCATGCTTTCAAAAGCTCAACGGAAAAATAATTATGCAAAGGCATGAGCTATGTACATACACGCATGTCCAGTCTTGATGCTTCAGCACAAAAAACCTTGCACTTTAGTCGTTGTCTTCATTCTATGAATAGAGAACGATGGGCAGATGCTGCAACAAAGGAAAACTGCAAAGTTAATTTAACGCTTCACTGCCCAAAACTTGTGCTCATAAATTGTTGGTGTTGCGATCCATTGGATAACTATACAATAAAGCTGTCATAAGTGCACAAGGTTGTAAATTTTGTACAAGATAGTTAAATAATGAAAAGAATGTTTAGCCAGCACCGCAAGCAGGTTTTCCATGAGCGATCAACTGAAATAGTTTAGCTTGTTTAGTGGATCTATTCAGCGCATAAGTGGATTATACATTAAACTAAAATAAACGATAGAACTCACACACATTCTATAGGTATATATGCGCGGGATTAACATTTGAATGCAGCGAATATTTGAATTAGAATGCAGCTCTGGCAGTGTACTGCAGTCATCGATCCTCCATGCATGCAACCCTGCTATCGATTGAGTATATCGATGCTTTGCGACCACTAAGAAGTTTAATAAATAAAATTCAATATAATTTCATCACATTGTATTAATATTATACCCTAATTTGTCCATTAATAAGAGTGATTAAGTGATTCAAGTGTGATGAATGAATTTACAGAACTCGGCAATATTTGCTTTATCTTTGACTTTGATTTGTTTTAGTCTTCAGCGACAGGGACTTGAATGTCGGCGTTTGCTACAGCCTTGTTATTAAGTATTGCTTTTATTTTCGGTTAAAGATCACAGCTAGTCGTTCTCATGGAAGTGATTATAGAAGTGGCGTATCAAGTGCAGTCCCGCGTAGGAAAAAGCCATATAGTTTATGAAAATAAGCACATCAGTAATACAATGTTTCACGTACGTCCAGCAATCCAACAGCTCTGTTGCACACATAAGAAAGAAAAAAGTTTGTGTAGCAAAGTAGCAGAAAAACCAAAAACTATAAATTCCTATGTGCATTTATGCATTTTAGTTGTCAATGAAAGAACTTAGCTTACCCATTATCACGCTTGGTTTCTGCTAAGTAAATCTATAAAAGTCAACTTAACTTGAACGAAATTTCATGGCACATGCGATGGCACATAAAACACATCATTATCATACCAAAGTTATGGAAACTCATTACTATATTTTTGCTTGATGGTGGCAGTAAAGCAGTACAACTTGAGATAGGATCAGTTTGAACTCTGAGGGGAACACAGTAAATCATTGCAGAGTACAGATATTTTTCTCCTGAATCGTGTGCCCCTTGGATGCAACAGCTGCAACGTTTCAAAAAGCTCAGAAGTGGGCGTGTACTGTCCACCAGTGCAGCGTCATTATAATGAGGTATTTGCAATACATTCTGTTATTGTTGTTAGTAATATAACGAGTATATTAATTGATTATCATTTGAAACCCCACAGAACTTTGGAACCACCGCAGCTGTTACGGGAAATGGCAGAAGTATCCTGCGCTTTCCCACATAATTCTCATATCGATGACCTTGTAGAGGCCAATACTAATGATACTTCTACAATCGCATTGCATGGTAGATGGGCTATAAAAGAGCACAGCAATGCCACAAAGGCTGCATTCAGTTCCAGGAAGGACAGCTCTTCGCAAGTTCAGTTCTAGCAAGGAATCTCTTCGCAATTTCAGTTTAAGGAAGGATATCTCTTTGCGCAAAGATGGATAAGTTCATGAAGTACACAAACTTCTTCTTTACGACCTTAGGCTTTGAGGCATACGCAACGGAGTCCCGACAGCCGACAGACAGTCTGAGGAACAGACTCGTGTTTTGGGGAAGTTTATCGAACTTGGGGATTGCGGGACTCGGCGAGTGTATCTATTTCTGTATGGTAATTTCCGAGGGAAACCTTCTGGAAGCCGTCACCGTGATGTCCTACATTGGGTTCGTCGCCGTGGGCTTCATCAAGATATTCTTTATCAGGTGGAAGAAGACGGCTTTGAGCGCTTTGATGCAAGAGTTGGAGGATATGTTTCCGCGTGGAAAGGTACAGGAAGCAAAGTTCCAGCTGGAGGAGTATCTGCGCTCCTGCTCTCGCATCAGCTTTAACTATGGTCTTCTCTATATCGTGCTCATATGGACCTTCAATCTGTTCCCCGTCATGGAGCTGATTGTGTTCGAAAAGTGGCTGAAGATTCGAGAGGTTGGCAAGTTGCTGCCCTATCTGCTGTACGTTCCCTGGAAGTGGGATGACAATTGGTCTTACTATTTGCTGCTGGGTGCCCTTAACATTGCCGGAATAACCTCCGCAGCGGCACAGATTTCCTCCGATCTCTTGCTCTGCTCAGTGGCCACTCAGTTGGTGATGCACTTTGATCATCTGGCGAGGAGCATGGAGCACCACAATCTCAGTGGCAATTGGCCGGAAGATTCTCGTTTTATCTCTGAAGTGGTGCGCTATCACGAGCGAATTCTGCGGCTATCGGATGTGGTGAATGATATATTGGGAGTCCCTCTGTTGCTCAACTTTATGGTATCTTCGTTTGTGATCTGTTTTGTGGGATTCCAGATGACAGTGGGCGTCTCCCCGGATATGATTACCAAACTGTTCCTGTACCTCGTCTCGTCGATGAGTCAGGTGTATCTGATTTGCCATTACGGACAGCTGGTGGCCGATGCGGTATGCTTATGATTATTTTGTCCACCTATGTATGGCTCTCAGTTCTTTCTTTCAGAGCTCTGGGCTGTCCGTGGCTGTCTACAACCAGAACTGGACGCAAGCCGACGCTCGCTATCAACGCGCCTTAGTCCTCATCATAGCCCGGGCGCAGAAGACCACCTATCTAAAGGCCACCATCTTCTTGGACATTACCAGATCCACCATGACCGATGTGGGCACTGAGTAAACTCTTGTTTCCTACTTGAAACATATTTTCCTGTTTTCTGTTTTCAGCTCCTTCAGATATCGTACAAGTTCTTTGCCTTGCTCCGCACCATGTATGTCCAATAGAGGACGGACCCTAAATCGCTAAAACCTTCTCTGTGCACCCCCTCCTATGCTTTCAAAAGCTCAACGCGAACTTAATTATGCGTCGGCATGAGCCACACACACACACACACCCACATATGTCCATCCATCGCATTGCTGCTTCAACACACAGGAAAAAAAGAAAGAAAAACGCTGCGCACTTTTTAGCGGTCGCTGGGTGACGTTGAAAAGGCAATTCTACGAGTACGCTGGAAAGGAGAGGGAAATATCGTATGTGGGCTACAAAAGAAAATTGCAAAGTATATTTTACGCTTCACTGCACAAAAGTTGTGCTTATGAGTTTTCTCTCGGTTGTTATGCTCTTTAGAGGAGGGTATTTCAGAATTTAAGAAGAGTTTGCCTGCCTGCAGTACAAGGAATGGTTAATGTGAGTTACTAGAATTCATTATAAGAGTTCAGTTGAAATGGATCGTATGAGGAGAGGAATAAGTGGCAAGAGATATGCTGGGATCTAACACTTAAAAGATATTTAAAGCACGCATCTCAAAGACTTAGTTTATGGTTCGTATTTTTTTCTGTCACACCTAACTTTAAATGGGAAGGTATATTCCTATATAGAACGCTCGATCCCACACTTTTAGTTTTACCTTTGCTTCGAGAATAATAATAAAAATAATTTGATTCAATGATTAATTAAATATCATGGCCTAGCCTAAAATAGAATAACATGCTTCTTTTGATGCAATTTGAATCAATATTTTAGGGTATTCTAAGTATCGTTTATTTGTAGTTCGACCTCAAATCTTGTTGCTAGTACTCTGGTAGTTTTCTTACAATTTTCAGCTCTTTTCTCAGGGTGAGAAGGAGAGAGAGAGAGAGAAGCGTGAGTCGGGTCTGAAGGCAGTGGACAGCAAACCCCTTTGATGGCATCTAATGCAGTTTTTCCATGGGAAAAATGATGTGTGGCGGCCGTATGGCTAGGAGTACTCCTACTCCTACGCACTCAACAATATTAGCAATTTATGCGCTGGAGCGTGTCCAGGCAGGAGGGAGAGCGCTCCGACTGTGTGTTGTGGGGTGCAAAAGGAAATGGGTGTTTTTCGCCACATAACATTTTCATTTTTGACGAATCTCCTCGATATCACCTGCACGGCACCCCCACCCGCCTGGATAGTTATTGTTTGCTAGAGCCACGTGCATAAAATATATTAAAAATCTATTTTTTGTCCAATGTCCTGCCATCATTCGTCTCCCTTCTTCTTCCCCGTCCCCTTACCTATTTCGACGCTACTGCTGTCAGGGCCTGACATATTTTTTTGTGTAGGAGCTTTACTTCCATTTTTATTTGTTATTTTTGTATGTGTACATAGATATCTATTTTTGTGATTTTTTGCTGGCTTCTCTTTTTACAGGGGATTTATTTTTCATTTTTGTGAAATTTTTATAAAGCTCCCAAATGTGCTACAATTTAATTTCTAGTCACGTTTTGTGTGATTTTCAAATGGGCAACAGTTACAGCCAACACAAAAAAAAAAAAAACAGCCAGCAAAAGCAACAGAATGTGGCAGGGCGCCTAAAAAAAGATACTTTCAATATCTACTGCTGTCAGATTGCATAATTTAAGGCGCCATAAACATAGAACACGTTTATTAGGACCCGAAACCATGGCAAGAGTCAGAGATCATATCAGGTCAAGTCAATTACTGATACTGTCAGAGTTGTGTTCTGTAATATTTAGGTGCTGGCCAGAAAATATATATTTTGGGCAGCTGAAATATGTATAATGAAATAATTGTATTATTACGGGTACATATACATTTATATAAATAGTTTATTTAGCTAATTGGAAGCAAGATAGAAATGTCTACATGAGTTAGAGCTGTGGTCACTCTGTGGGGCTCCGCTTTGTCTGTGCCTGATTTTGAGGTCAATGGACATTGAATATAAATACTTGTGGTGCCCTTAACTAAAGCGAAAATACTTTTATTCAATAGAATATAAATGATACATATATCTTTAACTCATTGCGGATTTTTGCTATAAATTATTTTAATTGTTTTTCTATAAATCTTTTCTTGAGTACAATGAATAAAAATAAATTTCTCCCATTTTAATTGAAATATTTTTTTAAAAGCTTTTTATACAATATTGCCATACAGCAATATGTCTGAAGGAAGTAATAAATACTATTTTCCCATAGGAATAAATACTCAAACACCTATCAAAAACCGACCGAATTAAATTAAGCCAACTCCCACTATTTCCTCTACTCCTAAAACCATTTTCATGACGATTTCCACATGATTTCCCTTACATATAATCGACCTTCAGTGCCAGGACATAGTCCGCTCTCTCTCTCACTGCCTCGGCTATCAAAATAAACACTCTTTGTCATTTATGAGCAATTATGAATTTACGTACACTTTTGCATACAAAATGCATGCCAACGAGCAGATCAAAAATTGAAAGCCACAAAAAAATAGCACCCATTGTTTTTTCCTTTTCCCCGAATGCCGCATCCACTTCCCCTCCACCACTCCGCCCAACTGGTTGTTAAATCCACTTATCAAAACGTGCAAATAACTCAACTCTGGGGATAGGGACAAACACACGATGGCAACAGCAGGAAAACGGGTAACGGGCAATGGAGAAGGAAATTGAGGCAACTGGCGACCATGATGACCCGGTGGGGCGTGTTCAATGACCAATTGGCAAAAAACTGTTGGCACTGCAACAATAGCTACAGCGACAGCGGCAGCAGCAACAAGCTGGAAAAAATGTCCCCCAATCGCTGGACAAACTTGCAGGGATCGAAGTGCATTATTCTTGCCACATTTTGGTGCAGTATGGTGAGAATGGTGCATGGGCGGTAGGATATGGCCCTGTTTTTTCAATTAGCTGCCATTAAATTGAATTCAAATATTGAAACAATATGTTGCCCCCCCACTGGCGGCCCGAAAACTCTGTTCGCAGCCATTACCCCGCTTTTCCAGCGTGGGATTTTAGTTTCAGCTTAGCAATCTCATCCCTAGCGCCCCGCTTTCATCGTTTTCCCCCTTGTGTTCGCTGATCTGGTGTGATTTATTGATTTTGAGTGCAGTTTTTCTTGTCAAAAGCTGACTGCGGCTCATACGCTCGAGTGTCCACAGAATAAATATATTTTTCTTTTTTAAATGCCAGTGGCAAAAATCGCACCAAAAATGTTTTCCATTTTTATTTAGTTGTTGGTCAAAGGAATGGAAAATCTCTCGCTTCCACTTCCACACTCTCTGTCCGTCTGTCTGTCTGTGGGAAATGTGTGAAAATCCGCACGTATCTATATGTGGGAATCTTTTTCAATGGCCAAAATATACATAGATTTCTATGCACCACTATAAATGGAGACTAAAAGCCTCTAAATTAGTTTGCTTGCATTATTACCCATACGCACTGTGGTACGTAACAGCCGCTGCGACACTGCCATTTCTATGGCTTTGCATTAAGCAAATGGTTTCGTTTGGTTTTGGTGTTTTATGTATATGGGCCCCACCCAAAAATGGTAAAAACTGTTCCCCGCTCTCATATTTGCTAATGGCCGTCGGGAGAGTGACTTTGGATGTTTCTTTATTGTGTACTGTGGGCTTATTCGATTGATGATTGCTGATGATTTAAGCATTGGCTTATTGATTTCTTATGGGCCATTAATAGAGGATTCCATCCACTAATAGCATTCATATTTGAAACGATTTGTCAATGCAGTCGAGCATTAGTCCTGCAGATCTCATAGATGGATAATTGTGACAGTAATGTGTGCGATACAATAGACGGGGGGGAGTGGAAATCTATCTGTGCGCAAGAAAAATGTATGCATATACATATACATGTGTGAGTGTGTGTGTGTGCGTGGGGGATATAAGCAGAGCTTAGAGCCTAAGTAGGTTGCTGAGCCTCCACGCAGAGAGAGAGAGAGAGACACGAAGATGCCACAAAGGCGCGGGGCTTGTATGCGGAAAGATAAGCGAGAGGATTTCATTTGCTCATTACTCAACAGCTTACTACAGGGAGGAGGTACAACGAATGGGGGTATGGGGCTTGCGTGGCAGTCGCAGTGGAAGGCACTAGGCGGTACGTTCTCCAGACACAGATGAAGAAAAGGAAACACTGAAGGCGGCTCATAAGAAATGCATGTGCACATAATTCATTTTTTATGCTGGCTTACAGCAACAACAAGCGATATGGGTGAGAAAAAGATTGATTTGGAGAACGAATATGCAGATGCCCTATAAGATTTATTGTGTTTATGGAATATTTTGGAAATATGCTAAAGAAAAATGGAAAATTTTAATGTTTAATTACTTTTTGATTGGTTTTTTTAGTGATATTATATTTTTTTTATACTAAATGGAACATTCAGCAAGTGTTTTGCGCAGAGTTCCTTCGCAACCGATGCTGAAGATATGAATGTGGTTAAGCTGCTCATCACAACCCATATTACTCTCGAGAAGAGCATATGATGGCGGGACTAAGTACAGTTACATGAGTTACACTCGCCGCAACCACCTTCACTCACTTACACAAGTGAAAAACTTGTGAGAAGAAAATTTAGAGACGAGAGAGAAAGAGGCCTTGTCGTCGTCGTTTGCTGCTGCTGCGGAGAATGGTGATGTGATGGTGGTGGTGCTGCTGCTACTCCTGCTACTGCAGCGCTTCTCTTGCAACGGAAACGGAAGCGACATCCAAGTTTATGTTAAAGTTTGATGCAAAACCCCCAAACTCTCTTACTGCGATGGCACACCTAAGTAGCTGTATGTGTGGATGGATGGCAAAGTTTCACTCCGTCTCTTCTCCGTCGCTTCGTGTTGACTTTTGTGGCTCCTGTAAGTGTTGAGACTTGCGGTGGTGTCCGTTGCATATACATATACGTATGTACATGTGTGTTGCATGTTGCATGTGTGTGTGAGTGTGTGTGTGTGCTTTGCAGGTGGTAAGGAAATTAAATCATCTTCGTGCGCCGTGCACATCATTAGTATGTATAGGGGAGAGAGAGAGGAGAGAGAGAGGAGAGAGAGAGAGAGAGAGAGAGAGAGAGAGGAGAGAGAGAGAGACAGAGAGAGAGCAGGGAGAATGCCCTGAGGGCTGGGGCTGCGGCTCTGCCTGCTACTGATGATTATGATTGCCTCTCTTGATGGTGGTTTTGGTTGGGTTTCGTCCGCTTCCTGTCCTGTCCTTTCCTGGCCATATAAGTATGCCAGAGTTTTCTGACTGCCACTGCAAATTGGGTTTTGCATTAAAGCGGCAACATTCTTGATTAGTCGTTGCATACCAAATTGACTTGCATCTCTCGATAGACAGATATCGACTAGATCCTGTGCTCCATCTTCTGCTCCAACAGCTGACCAAACAGCAAATGTCAATGGGTGTCCTGCCGCCATCCTCGTCCTCTCTTCTGTCTGCTTGTTTGTTTGAGCACCGGCTCAAAGCGTTGAAAGTGCTCTTGCGCTGAAAACAGCAG